TGGGTAGGATGCTGACATGTTGCACAGATAGGACAGAAACCTGGGGAGGGGGTGTCAATGGCTAGGATACTGCTCAAGGAGTTTCATTTAGGAGCTAATGGTATTTCTTGGAAGCTCAAAAGCATTTTTGTTCTAGTACTTTTCTGATACTTATTTAAGTTCATGACATCTTGAAAATACATATTTGGCTCCCAGTACTTTTTCAAACCACAGAGGAGTAATAACTGTAATTTACATTTCAAACAGTCTTCTTAAAACATGACCATATCTACATATGCCTCCAAGCCCTATGCCTTTTTTTTTAAATTTTGTTTTTAGCTTTTAAAAATAGCTCACTTAACTTTGTTAACCATTTTATGGAATGATGTATTATAAACGCAAGCCAGTAGGGAATTCCCCAGGTCTAGAGATGAGAAAATAAGAGCCTGGGCTGACTCTAATAGTGTGAATTACAGCACTGTGGAAGACAAACTCCTGAAAACATTTCTTTAAAACACTGAATGACAAAATATTCCCCATCATTCTGTTTCTACAAGATAGCCATTACAGCTCATATTTACTAAATGCTGTGCTAGGTGCTGTACCATGCTCTAAAAAGTGAGCACCGCCTTGACCCGTATTTTAGACAAAAGCCAGGAGGCACAGGCCTTCCCGTGGCTGCAGACTGAGTGATGAAATGTGTCCTCTCAGTCTGGTCTCTGCCACACAGAATCTGGGCTCTTCCCAGCTGAGACCCATCCAGCCTCAGACCAGAAGGACAGAACAACTAAATCTGTTTGAGCAATCAGTGCTCTCAGAGAGAGGGACATGAGCAGATTATAAAGATTGTGTAAATGCTCACCCACTTTCCTGCATCCCAAGTCTTTTGGATTGGCTCAAAGAGAGAAAGTTACCAGGAAACATACACACACACACACACACACACACACACACACACAAATACACAATTCTTTCTTTCTCTGCTGGCCCCCAGAGAGGTTGGCCAAAAGGAATTGGAAGAACATGATTATCCTCACCGCATAATGAAGGACAAGTTAGCCAAAGAAGAGAGAAAGAAGTACTGTGCTCCGGAAGGAGAGTCTATAAAAGGCTGTTTTTGTGTTTATTTTTTTCCTCACAAATCTGGGAAGCAAGAAAAGTGACAAGAAAGAGAAAAGGCAAGGGAGGACGGAAGAGTGAGGGTTTGTGGGACCAGTACTGGCAGCGAGGGTGGCAGCTTTTAAATGTGGTGACAGATAAAAAATCAGCTGAGAACTGTAGAGCGAAAAACTGTTGGAGACAGAGGACAGAACAGCTTTGCTGCCGTGGGGGACACCAACCACCTGGCTCTGGCTTCGGCAATCCTGTGAGATGGGGTATGGACCTTGGATAGAATGAGGGCAGACAGCTGCCTTGCTCTGCAGCCTGTCAGGGCATCCTTGTGTCTGGCAGGGGCAGCCCACCCAGGACCCAGGCCTGGACCAAGGAATTCCAGCTCTGCGTTCATGCTTCTCACACGAGCACCAACAGCATAACCCACTGCTGGCTTTCACAGTTGCCGAGCTGCAGAGGGACACTTAGCACTGGTCTGGTTCTCATCACTATAACAAAATAGCAGAGGCAGGCTATTTGGTTTTCAAGAAGAGACCCTGGGGAGTCTCTTCTGGTGACTGCTGTGTTGTTGGCAGAGCCTCCAGGCCATGCAGGCTAGGAGAGAGGAAGAGCCTCGGTTTCCTTCCCTCTGCTTCTCAAGTTACCACCAGCAGGCAGTCCTGGGTGCTCTGCCAGAAGGGCCTCAGCCAACTTAATCCTAAAAAGCCCCACACTTCAGAGCAGTGAGATGTGAACCAGCACAGGAAAATGAGGAGGATCACTATCTTTCTTATATTCTACCTCTTAAATCAAAAACAAAACCAGAAGCAAAATATAAAAGCAAAACAACAACAACAACAAAAACCAACCAACCAAACCAACCAAACAAACCAAAAAACCTCCTTAAAAAAATAAGTTGTGAGTAGCCACCAACACACACTATCACAATTTGAGCTACTCTGGGCCTCGCTCTTCCATGATTTGTTGTGACCTTTATAGCTGTCAGTGATATTGCCCTTACAGCCTGCAAAGCTTGTCTGCTACCTGGGTGGGCATTATTTGTGGGTATTCTCAGCCCCTCAAGGGTGTGTATCATTGAGGTCCTGGCTGACTTAGAGAAATGCCTTCTCTCCACAGTATGCTTCTACCAACTAAACACAATAGGGTACTGTGCCTCAGACTTGGGGCTCCAGGCCAAGTGTTCACAGCTTAAATTCTGGCTGAAGTGCATGGTGCCATGATGCTGTAGATGTTGCTCTAGCATGGAGATAATGGTGACAATGACACCACAGTGCTACTGTAGACAGGAACTAAGTTGATCCCTGCCACGTGGATCTGTACATCATTGCCTCGAAGAGACATCACCGGAAGCTTAGCTGTTATCATCATGAATATCCTCTGTGATACTGCCAAAACAGAACCAGGACCTCCTATGTGAACGCAAGGATCTATGCACTTGGCCATCCTCTACTGCCTTGCCAGGTAGATTAGCAGGGAGCCAGATTAGAAGTAGAGCAGTCACGACTCAAACTGGTACCTATATGGTAGGCTGACATTGCCATTACCCACAACACAGCACCATCCCTGTTATTGCCATTGTTAAAGCCAGGACTTGGTCACTAAGGATGCTCATCTAGTATTGCCAGCTAGGTGACTACAGAATCACATTTCTGCTTTTAATCCAAATAAGAAATGGTGATTCCAGTAAAAAAAATCATTCAGACACAACTTCTCTTAGTTGAAAACTTTTATGGAACAGAACCATTTTCCAGATGGTTGCAAGTAAATCTGTAAGATAGAAATCCATATGGCAAAACTTTCAGAACTCTTTGGGTAAAAAAAGTTAGTATCTTTAAGACTGCCCCCACATTTTAAGAATTCCCATATACGTTGCCATGAATCATAGCTCAGTATCTCTTGGGGAAATTAAAAAACAAATAAGCTTATTACAGCCAATAGGAACTAGGGGCTAGAGCAAGCCATGTCATTAGAAGTCCCTATCATTGACCACTTCACCACGGATTATGCATGATGTGTTTCATGCCACAGAGTATGACATCCTAGGAGAGTCCCATGCTTTATTACTAGTTTCATTTCCAGTTGGACGATTCCAGGAGGCTGGGTTGGCATATGGATCTGTAATGGCTTGAGTTTTTCCTAAGATCTGCCCAACAGGACCTGCTGGTTAGGCACATCACCAGGAACTATTGACAGCTGTTCTGAAAGGAGCATAAGCACTGCCAGTCTTTGTTTCCTGCCACACTAACAGGCTCGTGTTCCTTAAACATTGGAGCCCTGGATGTCTTCCTTTCCAAGCTCACAATCAGAGTCCAGCTTCAAGACACACAACTGTCTTTGTGTTGATGCCATCTATGAGGAAAACCTCAGAGGTACAGTGATGACCTTGACTGCAGAGTCAGGCTGGCTTAGGCCCCAGTGTCATAGCGCAGCCTTCTGTCTGCCTCAATTCCAGACTCCCCTTGCCCTAGGCAATCTACAAAGTCAAGGAAGAAAGGGTTGAGTTCCCACTGCACCCTTGCCCCAGCACTGGGACAGGAAGGAGCAGGTGGGTGGATCTGAATGTGTTTTGAGGAGCCTGAAGATGGGGAGTACAGGAGGGAAATGCAGAGGGAAGCCACAGTTGTAGTTTTGTTTATCTTGAGCGTGAGCTATGAAGCTTCCCTGGACAACTGCTTTCTTCATGCTGCCTGGACGCTTTCTCCACACTAGAGCTCCCTGGGCCTCAAGGGCTATAAGAGATGGGCACTTTGCCTTTCAGGGTTTAGCATTGCCAGTTTGCCAGATCTTGTCCAGCTCTCCTGTCCCAGCTGACAATAGCATTTTGCCTTGCCTTGTCTCTGGTAGTCAAGAACCAGGGTCCACCTAATGGATCTCTGCCACCAAGTTTTACCCTGAAGTTGGCAAACTGTGTTCCTTTGTTTCTTCATTCTGAAAACTTTTCCTTGATTTACCTTCAGTAACTTCATTTTTTTAGAAGTGGGCCTTCTCCTAATCTCTAGGGACTAGCACCTATTGCTAACCTGCTACTTGGTGGGCTGTCACCTTATCATCAACTCATTATTGTCCCCTACCGAGGTTTCTGGATGTGGAGTGCCTGACCTGTACAGACAGCCTGTGTTCAGATATCACTTATCTCTCCACCCCAGGCCAGTATGCCCCAACCCCCTCTCCCTATCCTCCAGTCATTGGGGTCACTCTGAGGTTTGCCTATGTGGGTCTCAACTGACTACCCACTGCTAGATTCCCTTTGGTCATCCTCATTTGTCTACCCTTGCTCACATATTCTGGTTCTGTGCTCTCATGGGGCAATGAGGGGACTATTCCAGGTCTCCAGGAGAACCAGTCTTGCCAACTGGGCCCTAGACTTATAATCAATTAGTTTCATGGTGTGGTGACAAACGTCTGCACAGTTGTCTAACATTAAGTTTCCCTTCAGAAATTAAGAAGACAAAACTTGTCTGTTTTCTCTATGGCAAAGATTCCATTTTCCTACACAAAAACACATTTTTGACTCTATATGGCCATTTAAAAATTTCAACACTAACCCCAGGTACTCACCATCCTCCTTTGCTATTTTTTTTTCTATATTTTTTATCCTCAGTGCTTTTGCTGCATGCTGAACATTTTACTTATTTTCTTGCTTACTCTTTCTCCAGGTGGAATAGAAGCCCCACAAGGACAGGAATTTTGATTTATTATTATTGCTGTACCCAGAGCAGTTTAACACCTAAAACATTGCTAGGCAAGCATTTAGATATTTCAGTGGTAAATGAAGAACTGTGCTTTCTGCTCACTGGCCAGGTCATTCGCCACCCAGGGCTGTGGGCAGCCAGCCCACAAGTCTATCACCGTTCCTGGCCCCCGGCCTCCTTGGTTGCTGCTCTCTGGACAGCGGGCACAGTGCTCACCTTCAGCTTGTGTTCATGTTCCTTGTTGACCCGGGCCAGCAGCTGAGCTTTCCTTCTGTTGAGGGCATCAATAAGGGCATCACACTGGGCCACCAGACAGGCCTCAAACTCCACACTGTTTTCCTGCATGAGAAAGCACATTTCTCAGCTGCAGGATACAGAGCATCTCAGGCTGTCAGAGCATCCAGAGCTTCCCTGGCCTTGCATGGCACAGAAACCCCTGCTGCAGGGAATTACAAAGAACTCGGTCCATAATGCACACACTTTGATGTTTATAAAAGGTAGATGGGCAAACTTCCCTCTACAGTGGTAGAGTTTTTGTTTGAGATTTAGACGGAAAATGACAACTATTTATTGTCTAAGCTTGTTTTTATCAAAAGGAAACCATTTGCACAATCTGGAAGATATTAAGTATTATAAAGCCTTGGTCTGTGGTGTTGCACACGAGTCTCCCTGAAGGCTGTGCAAGTTCAGCCACACATGGTAAAATGTGGCAGTCAGTAAGGCAACTTGGAGGTGATACTGAACTATCACATCTAAGGAAGAAAGATGAGGGCAATGGCTTTCAATATTAAACAATAGCCCAATAAAAATAGAAGTATTGAGATGTAACAACAATGGGAGAACATACTCAGTGGCTCTCCGATTAAGGAAAGCAAAGTGTGCACACAGGTGGGCAGTTAAGAACAATCGATATTGCACAAATAATCTCCTTTTGTGAAAACCAGACACGAGCCAGCAGTTTGCAGGAGGAAAGGTACTTGTATTAAGTGAACAGGTGTCTCAAGAATGTTTAAATGCGGGACATGAAACTTTTTACTTCCAAAAATCTGAAAAAATTTTAAATCTGTATATGCCACAGACATTTCTTATAAACAATTTCCTCACTGAAATATGAACGTTTGCTAAAGGTAATCTTTTCAACAACTTAGCCATACCAATTTGATTTTAAACCATAAGCAGGAAAAAATATGAATTTGTAAATAAAAAAAGCCAAATACTTACCTGTATACCAGTAATACTTAGAAAAGAACACTCAACTAAGCCAAGGCAAACTTCTGGGAGCTGGCAAGGATGGAGCCTAATGAACTACAGTGTACTCCCAAAGCCCCTAAGAGTTAACGGTGTCTCTTTAGGGAAGAATGTATTGCAGGTACTTCCAACTGATAACTGTTTTCAAGTGCAAGGTCTTTGTATAAGGAATGCATTAGCAATGTCTATAATTAATACCTTTTGCCTTTCAAAGCAACTGCTTTTGAATTCTCAGAAGAGACCTTAGAAAACATCATGTAAGAGTTCTCTAAGCCCCATGCAGGGTAACACTAGGGATCTGGTGTATGTGTAAGAAAGAGAGAAAGAAAGAGAGAGAGAGAAATTTCTTTTTGAAGGCTCCATCAGTGATTTTGAACAGAAAGGAAGTTTTGGTCTGGGTGAAGAGGGGTGGGGGCAAGCCTGGGCTGCACATTTTGTGCCAGTACAAGCAAAGAAAGGCCTGATTGATAAACTCCATTGCTTTCCAAAACAGAAGAAAGTATAAAAACTGCTGGGTTTTTAGGGAACCAAAAGCTGTAACGGGTATGCATAACCAAAAAGTACAAAGAAGTCAGTGAGTAATGCTTTCAAAGCTTGGGTTACATTTAAAGAATAACTTACATCTTGATATGAACTAAATATTAACTCAAAGAGCCCACTTGTGGAGGTCAGATTAAGATGATTTCCATGAACTAAATCTCAAGGTCAGTAAGATGGGCAAAGTGTCTTTTAAATTCTGTTTTTCTGTGGGCCTTTGGAAATGTCCCCATAAGGTCAGAGACAACAAAAAGAGACACGAATCTACCCATGGCACATAAAGATACAAGAAAAGAGAGCTCTCTCCCTGCACAATGTCACGTGACAACCTCTTCACCCCCCCAGCAGCTGCTTTCCCTCCCCAGGGGTTCAGGTACCTGGATCTGCTGTACCATGTTGCGGAGCTGCACCAGGAACTCCTTGGCTTCTTTGGCCCTGTCTGACAGTCCATTCAGTGCCTGGGAGAGCTGGTTCTGCAAAGAGAAAGAGAGGGATGTCACAGAGCTGGAATTACACAGAGCAGTAACAAAGTCACACAGAGCTGTTCTCAGATCAAAAGATTCCCAGAACTGGGAGTCATCAGCCTGCTTGGATTCCTCCTGTGTGAAGCTGGGCCATTGAGCCAACTGGACAAGTGGATTCTGGAAATAATGGCATCCAGGATCCTTGCATGGGTTCCTGAGTAGTTTCCTGGCCATGACAGGTGAAAGCCTCTCCCAGCTGCTATCTCTACCTAGAATTTCCTCAGCTCACAATTACTTACTTCATAGTTTATGTCATGCCTATTGCTGGGGATTAAGAAAGCAGAACCCAACAATGAGCAACACTAGTATTGCCAATACTACAATCCCACAATATAATACAATACAATACAATACAAAACAAAATTGCCAACACTATTTAGCACACCCTAAGGGTCTGGGCTTGGGATATAAAAAATAAAGAGTGTCAAGAAGAGGACCAAGGAGAGAAGGTATTGCTACTGGTGTGATGCTCTGGGACTGCTCGGGTAGAAACACAAACACAATGGACATGATGCAATCCTACCTCACTCCACCAACACCCTCTAACTGTTCCCAAGTATTTCCCTATTGCACTAACTCTCCTCCACTTGAGCTTCCTAGTCCAGAAGGCTTACTCTCTGAGTTCCCACTCCACTCCACTCTCATAAAGATGCACTTCTGATGTGGAGAGAATGTTTCTGAGTAAAGTATCTGCTTTCCCAGCATCTCTTATCTATTGGGATAGCCATGGCACAGATTGCTGAACCAAAGGTTCTAAGTGGAAAACTTCTGAGGATGGAAAGGCCTGAGAAAGTTCATGTTCTTCTGCTGACTTGGGAACAATATGGCTGGTACAAGCCTCTCCCTTTCGCCTTGGGCTTCCAACTTTATGATGGATGTGATGTCTTCTGATTCTCATTTAAAAAGGATCAAAATAGTAAAGGTTGGCGGGGTGGGAAGAGAAAGGAGTCTAGGTTCTAATGACATCTTGGAGCAACTGAGCCAGCACTTGTTGCCTCTTGCCATTTGGCTTCTTCTTACATGTGAAAAGTTAACTGCTTAAGTCTCTGTACTAGAATTTTCCATCGTTTGTAGCCATTACACTGCACTGGCTACAAAATTCCATCTCTTTGGCAGGTTGGGCACATCCTATTAGTCCTCATGCACAAAGAATGCCTTTGAAAACTAAAGCACTTTTCCTCCTTGTCAACATAGTACCTCATTACCCTATCTATCCAGCAAAAGGATAGGATCTTAAAATTACAGCTATTGAACCTGGAAGTGTTTTTTCTTTTACATTTGCCTTATTAAATTCAAAATTGGGCACTGACTGTCCCTAAAAACATGCATGCCAAATGCCTGGTGGGAGCAATGTGGGATGGTGGAAAGAACATAGGCTTTCAAAAGGTTCAAACTGTGGCTCTTATCCTTACTAGAAAGCTCATCTGCTGAATGACTCTAATGAAAAAAAAATGGGAATAATAACAATATTTTGTAGTTGGGTTATTGTAACCTTTGAATGTATTAATCAACATGAAAACTATTCTGAATTTATAAATACTACCAGTTACTGGCTGTTCATTTTTTTTTTAAAAAATATGGTTTTACCTCATCCATAAAGGGAGAAGGATAAAGGTACTATTGTGGGCAGTGCATACGATCCTGTATCCAATACTCAGACCCCCCACTGGGGTACAGGGCAAGATCCATGCTTAATAGAAGCTATTTGCTGTGCTCAGGCCTGCTTATACAAACATCTGCTGACTGGAGCAGGAGCTACTGGAAAATATTCTTGGTCACCAATACTTGGCTGTATGTACTAATGCTATGGCAGGCTAGATGCATAGACTAACAGAAAGCAAAGATGAGCCTTCAGCAACATCCTTTACTGCGAAGTACCAGCAATCCCATCATTTGTGGTGAAAGTTTCTCCTCAATGATGATTTTCTATTTAATTTTTCTGAATGAGCAAAGGTTACTAGGATGGTTTTCCTCCTCCTTTAATTATAATCCATGCCTTAGGAATCACTCTTGGGGGTTTGGACACAGAAGCCAAATTCATTTGGCTACAGAGAAGTTTATCTATCTGTGTGACTCCTTGCATTACAAGCTTGTGTAATGCAAGTCATATCTGACACTCATAAAGATGTGCTAACCAGATGCTGTTATATACTTAGAAAAACAATGATTTAGTCATAGAAATTCCCAGAGTTTTATATTGCAATGCAATAAATGAAGTACAAAATGTAATTTATTTCCAGATTCTTTTTGGGGGGGTATGTTCAGTTCTACTGCTTTCTATTTAATGTAATAAATAGACTGTAATGGTATTTGATAAACAACTACATTATAAGATAAAAATCCAGAAATCTTTCTCCTAAGCTCTGACTGTAGAAAGTGAACAAGATCATGAAAAATTGTAAAGAACTCTTTATCAGTAGAAGTACTCTCATTGTAAGGATTTATGTGCACCTTGCTTTTATAGGATAGCCTTTTGATTATATTTATAAGCTACATCTGATGTAGAATGCCATTGTGATTGATTGATTTAGCTTCCTAGAAGCATTTAAATTCCTACTCCGTGCTAGCAGATGCTCTGTATTCAGGACCATGGAGCAGCACAGAAAATGAATGACCAGAACACTGAAGATGAAAACATGCAGGGTGTGTTTTCATTACAACATCTTTAGCTGTTCACGTAGTCATTAGAGACAGAAAGGTAGGGTTTTAAAAGCCATTTAAAATGCCTCATTAATGGCATTTGGGTTTCTTGGATTTTGTTTGTTTGTTTGTTTGAATTACTGTCACAATCTTAAAGTGAAGGAGACTGGAAAATGATGCAGCCACAAGGCACTGACCGATTGCCAGTTAGGTTGTACTTGAATCAGAGCATGCTCAGAATAGACATGGCCTCACACAAGCAGGCCCAGTTGTTCAAGCTTGAAGGAGAGAAACAAAATACTCATCTCCCCCTTCCCTTTTTTCATACCTTTCCCTCTTCAACTTCCACTCAGTTCCCATTGTGTCCCAAAATAGTGATGCTCCCCAAAGATCAGAATCTCAACACGGAGGTGATCCTGGAGGGGTGGTTCAGAATTCATTTCTTAGGCTCAGTAAGTGACTAACAGAATTCACTCCATCCTGATCAATTCCTAACTAACATCAGCCCAAGCAACCCAGATAGAAGACAGTATTTCCCTCACTTTCCTAGCTGTAAACATAAATCACTTGTCATTTCCCTCTCAACTCAGAAGTTTGAATGAAGTGTCCTGGCTGTCAATGATGTTAACTTACAGGTCTGGGATGGGTCAAAAAAGGTCAAAGAACTAGTGCAAAACAGACGAGGCAAGCTAGACCAACAGCAGTTTGATGGCCCAGAAAACGACTGTGCTGCCTCCCAGAGCATGGGGTACTTCCCAGACCTCCATGATGATGCAGTGAATGGGTCTCTTGATTTTGCTCTGGGAGTAATCTAGAAGTGACACTCCAGCTCTGAAATAATGTTGGACTGACTGAGGCTTCTGTATGGTGGCTTCGGTTTCCAGTGAATCCTGGCTTCCCCACTTTGTCATAGGTGGATCTATCAAGAATATTCAACAATTAATCAGCCTGTGCATCTCTCTCACAGTCTGCATCTAGGGAACTCAATAGATAATGCTCAGATTAGCTTCTTTATTTGCAACTTGGGGTTACAAACAGTAATTGCAACACAGGACCATGATGAGGATTTCATCACATACACAAAGCCACAATGCTAGCCCCTTCTTCGTGTAGATTATGGCATTGTGAGTACACCAGACAGAACTTGTGTGTATTAGAAGGCTCATGCTATTCAAACCTTCCTAAAGCATTGTGGTGTTTCCAGAATGGGTGAAGATATGGAAAAATGTGATATGTGGCATGTAGTTCCTATTCCATGGCTCTGATTGTTGCTGTTTCCCCTAAGCAATTATCTCCTTTCAAATGGAGCATAAATAAAATGAAGTCATTGTGGGAGGACAGATCTTAGATACTACAATGTTGTGACTGGATTTCAGGTTCTGCTGAATGTCTGCAACAAATTCTTTCAGTATCGCAGCACACCACACAAAAGCCACAGAGACTTAGGGAGCCAATGTCCCCCCAAGAAACTATGAACAATGTGTGAGGCAACGATTTTCATTTACTGTGCCCTAAGGTAAAACGTGTCCTGCAGAGCTCTCATGGGGGAGAATTGTGCTGCATTCCTGTGCATCTCCAATATCAGAGCTTGGCTGGTGAGGAGGGTAGGAGACTTGGTGGTTGGGCCAGACAGAGTCTCTCTGGAATTCACATGGTGGTCAGAGCTATCTGTCTTGCTGGGGAAAAAGACATTTGTTTTCTTTGAGAGGCAGATAAGCCATACTTCTGTCATTGGTTGTTGGACTATGCCAGACTTTGACTTCATCAGAAAGACTATATGAGAGAAACTCCCTAATTAGTAGGAGGTTCATTTGTGGTGTAGCAAGTTAAGTTTTCACTGCCTGTAATGCCAGTATCCCATTTAAACTTCGGTTTGAATCCTCCCCCTACTGCTCCATTTTTCAATCCATTTCCCTGTTAATGTAGTTGGGAAAGCAGTGGAAGATGATCCAAGTATTTGGGCCCCTGCCACCCACCTGGGAGATATGTAGCTATTGGGGAAGTAAAAGCATGTAAGAACTGTCTATCTCCTTCCCTCTCTGTAATTTTATCTTTCAAATAAATAAATTAAAAAAAAAAGAATTGTCACCATTTCAGAGCAGCAATGATTCCTGAACACAAATATCCTGTTCTTTCTTTTTAGAGGTCTTGCTTAGATTTCAACAACAACCAGAACTGGACCAGGCCAAAGCCAGGAGCCAGGAGGGAGGTTCTCCCACATCTTCCACAGGGGTTCAGGGGCCTAAGAACTTAGGACATCTCCCATTGTATATATTATATATATAACATATATTATATATATAATATAT